TCACCGACCTTCCGCTGATGACCGCTCTCCTGAGACCAGGGCAGCATCGGTCCAGGCAATGTGGTGTCGAGATAGGAAGAACAATAAATGTGTCCGGCGTGGGTCTTGTTGCCGACGCCTCCATGGTGGCAGTCAATTTCTTTGATCCCAGGGGGCTTGTCGTCGCTAAGCCCGGCGATGAGAGTTGGACCATGGTCGACAAGGAATACATGAATTCGGTTTTGCCTTTTGCGGGGCGCTTCTACTGCGCCAACTACAGGGGCGTCATGGTGCTGACGACCAGCTCGGATCAGCAGCCGCCCCGGCTCCAGTTGGTCGCTGACCGGAGCGACTCATTTGATTTCTACCGGATGGCGCACAGCCTTCACCTGGTGGACAATGGCGGGGAGTTGATGCTGGTGCACCGAGCGCTAAGCCTGGACGGCGAGTATGGCAGGAGTTATGATGCTTACAGAGTGGATTTGGAAGCTGGGGTCCTGGCCCCAGCCAAGGGCTTCAACGGGCGCGCCGTGTTCATGGGCATGTGCCGCTCAATTTCTGTACCAGCTGAGGCTGCTTACCCCTCTGTCGCTGCTGATACCATCTACCTGGGACGCGATTGTGGTGGCCAGATTCAGGGGTACAATATCGCGGATGGAAGCATATGCAGTCTGATTGAGGCAGTATGTCCGCATAGTATTGTGGATTGTCTCCGCTGCTGCATCCAGGGACTCGGCAAGCAACTTGCTTGAGCCTCAGGACGAATAATGGGTGTTTGACGAATGCTGGGTGTTATTCTTTGCTATGATTCTGTTTCTCTGGCGGGTGTGGTGTTTGCGGTGATTCTGGTCTTGGCCTACTGCTGGTGTGGTGTCTGCCGTGATTCTGGTCTTGGCCTACTGCTGGGCGTGGTGTCTGCCGTGATTCTGGTCCTGGTCTTATGCATCAGTTACTGTGTATCGTACAGCATTATCATATGTACCTCAAATAATATAAACGCTTATCAAACAAAAAATGTTACTGGTTTTCTGTTTCTAATATTTACATATGATGTGGCAGTATACTGATGAAACAAAATTATCTGCATCTTCCTACTTTCTAGTACATCCTTGATGTTTTGTATAGACCGCTGCCCCTTCTTCTTCCATGATATATACTTCTAATCTGACCTTTGTACATTCCTTCCATGATATATAATGATAATGTAAGTTCTAATCTGATTTTTGGTACCATTACATGACTCACAACAGTCATACGAGTGTACCAGTAAATATTTTCCTTATAAGTTGATCAAATAATAAGTTGTAAATCCTGTTAGATCAAGGACTCTGTCCATTGACCAAGACTGTCATATATTTTGACTTTGTTCTGATCCTGACCAGCAAGGGATCATGCTTCAACTTGAATCTCCAGGAGTTCACTCCAGGGTTAAGACCTATCAAAGCTCCATTCAAGATAGCATCCAACAAATTAGTCACATAACTCATGTAATCATGACAGTTTGTTATAAATTGGTAGGATAAAGTCCAATGAAATCAAGCGAGCCATGAGCAATATAGTACTAGCAGTGTAGCACGATTTTCTTTATATGATTCCCATCATTCTTAGCCCATTTTTGATTCTCAATCAATTTCTTTAGGTACATTAATTACATTGAAAGAACGTATACATCACTAATCCATTTTTAGTTGTTTGATACCTGAAGCATAGAGTGATTATTATTATTATTGTTCCAAAAATAGTAATAGTTGTACAATGATGATTTAGCAGCCCGATTCTTACGGAGTAACTACTACTTGACTCCATGCCTTGGCAGTCCATATATAGCTTACAGAATTTATTTGGTCTCTCCACCTTTGCAGGTTCCTGAGTTGTTTCATGTTCGATTTTCTTGTGTGTGATCCATGATGCAAATGCAGGTTATGTTTGATGTGTATAGGGACTACTACAGCTACTACATTGAAAGTAATTTCAATTGCTTACCTTGTTGTCAATTACTGATGATGCTGGACTAGAATTAGTGCCCAGAATTATTTGGCACTTCTACGAGGACCTATGTATGAACAATGTTTCTTACATGCCAGGTCGAAAATGATCAATTAAGCTCAATTTGCTTGTTTGAACTAACATTTACCCTTCTGTTTACTTTATTATGTGGCTTCAGATTTTCAGGCTGGCCAGGCTCAAGAGTCACCGCTCCCAAGGCCATTCTTTACCATAAACAGTTATTGGAACCGGGAGAGCTAAGCATACCAGTGGGGTGAATCATGATGTCTCTTATAGTAAATCAGGAGAAGCTTTGAATTATAGAAGGAGAAACCTATCTGCGGTAGACACGAAAGATTTCTTTGATTTAATTTGGTAAGCTTCATTTCTGGATGTTATGATGTTTTATGCCTACATCATGTCCCGAGTATGAAAAATATAATTACCAATTAGTTACAGTTTACATTTTTTCTTTCTTCACAGTACCTTCCTTTTTTTTACCTTGACCATCATGTAGTATGTTCTTTGCAAACCTCTTCGAAATGTTACAAATCTAATTAATCATAGTTCAATATTGCAGAAATATTTAGTAGTACATATCAGTATCACAAACTAAAATCAGTACAGTGTTTTTTAAGCCAAATAATGTTTTGCATACATAATGCTTAACGTAGAACCTAAATGTTCCATTGGGGGTCCAAGCACCAAATCCTAATTCGTGCCGTCAACATTTTTCTATGATTTGCAAAGTAATATGGTCTATATTGATGTGGCCTTGTGCGTTTCTTTTTTGACGCGTCAACAGAAAAGAAACACTACTATTTTGCGAGGCTTGCGTTTTCACGAACTTTGTTAAGTCATTTTTATTGAGATTTTGATGAACTGCTTTGTCAATTTATTTTTGCGGTTATCCTAGTTAGAGATATCTTATGTTTGCATATGTGATCTCATCCCTGGAGCTATACATGGAAGCATTGAAACAATGTGGGATAATAAATCAACCAAGAACAAGGTATGTGCGTATAGATCAAATGAGATTTGTTCTTAATTTATGTGCTGATGAGTTTCTGTGTGATGCAACAGCCTCAAATCTGTTTCTAGAGCTTCAACATAAATCACTTATAGAAAAGGGAAAAAGGGAGGACGCTGAGCCATTTATCTCAAGATATTACTGTTTGTTGTATGCCTAGACAACTACTCTGAAGCGGGAAGTTTATGTTGCGGTTTAAGGGGATCAAGCTCTGTGTAGTTACTCTGTCTATAGTTCTTGCATAAACTGCATGAAACCCAAGGGGGACAAAAGCTCCTGAGATTGTTTGAGTTGTCACTCTCAGATCCATTCCATTTCATTGTGTTCTTTGGCATGATTTTTTTTTTGCCGTAAGTTGCTTGTGATTATTGTGAATTTATAGTGGTTAGTGATATTTCAGAGAGCTTTCTGTTACCATATTTGCAAGCTGATGTTGCTTCTGACTTTTGATCCCTATTTCTAGAACAAACCACCTTTAGAAAGCTCATGTTTTGGAAGCTCTTAATGAAACGTACATGCGTGACATTCTTCGGCGCAACAAAGCGCGCACTAAAGACTTGTAGTAAAACTGAATCCGGCGCCAGGAATCCACCATACATGCACTGATCCGGCAGATGCAGAGAACCATGAGATATTCTAGCAAAATTAACGACGGTGCGTGGTCGTGGACCGTTGCAAAATGAGGACCCAGTTGGTTTTCTGGGTCGCCCCAGTTTTGGTCACCAAGTCAGCCCTCCCTGCCTTCATCGCTGTTTTTTTCTTACTCACTTGCACTCCATGCTGCTCTTAGTTCCTCAAGCGCCAGGAGTATACATCTACAGGTCTCAGCCTCACCTTCGTTCCTCACCAAAATCTACAATCAACAAACTGCAAAGCAGAAACGGCAACAGATATCCACCATCCTCTTAGAGTTCTTGGAGCCAGCAACCGACGGGGATAGGGATGGCGGCCTCCGGGAAGGTGATCAAGTGCAAAGGTCTGTTCCTGAAACAGTACTAGTTAGTTTCATCTGATTTTGATTTCATGTGAAGAAACCCTGGAATTGTTGAATGGAGATAATCTAATTGGTCTGGTTCGTGCGTGATTGCAGCGGCGGTGGCATGGGAGGCCGGGAAGCCTGTACGATCGAGGAGGTGGAGGTGGCGCCGCCGCAGGCCATGGGGGTGTGAGTGAAGATCCTCTACACTGTCCTCTGCCACACTGACGTCTACTTCTGGGAAGCCAAGGTATCCACACAGAGTTTTGTGTGTTCCCAATGGTGTAATTGTGATGCATCTCAGTGGCTAATTAACTTGCTGATGTTCTGCTTGGATTTGTGCAGGGCCAAACTCCGGTTTTCCCTAGGATCTTAGGCCATGAAGCTGGAGGGTATGCATCCTCTCTCTTTCAGTTTTGTTGCTTGGAGGAATCTTGAATCTTGAATCATTATTTATTCACACTGGCTTCTAATTATAGTCATCCATAAATTAGATTGCTACCTACATACATCAAGTGTCCATATTTTATTGCCATGGGATAAAAATTATGAAGAATCATGAGATAACATCATCCATGACACAAACTCACACTATGAAGTGCTTTGGACAATCATATGGTTTTGGACTAGTTAATTTTCCCATGTTCTGTAAGCTGCTGATCTCCTCGTTATATCTTTACCACATTTATAATTTTCCAAAATAAAACAATCAGTACATAACTACTTTATTCATTTTGTAACGTTTTATGAGTGGCTAATTTCCTTGGTAGTTGTCCTTTTCTGCATTTTATTAAAATAGTATTATGTTGCTTTTCATAGTTTATCTTTTCTGCCAACTCTTTTTACTAACTTGCTTCTTGTTGCAGCATTGTTGAGAGCGTTGGAGAGGGTGTTACTGATCTCGTGCTGGGTGACCATATCCTCCCTGTGTTCACCGGCGAGTGCGAGGAGTGTGCCCACTGAAATCAAAGGAGAGCAACCTTTGTGACCTCCTCAGGATCAACGTGGATCGTGGCGTGATGATCGGTGATGGGGAGTCTCGCTTCACCATTAATGGGAAAACGATCTTCCACTTCGTTGGGACCTCCACCTTCAGTGAGTACACCGTTATCCATGTCGGGTACCTCGAAAAAAAACCTCGAGGCGCCCCTTGACAAAGTTTGTGTTCTCAGCTGTGGTATCTCAACTGGTAAGAGATGGCTCCTCATGTCATTGTTTCCAAATGAATCACAATGTTCAAGGTGCCTCTATTAGTTGCCGAATTGTGATTTTTCTGCAGGACTTGGTGCTACCCTCAATGTCGCGAAACCGAAAAAGGGTGACGATCCAAGACGTTTTTGTTCTACGCCATGTTTTTGCAGGCTGAAGAGAATTATGTGCTACAACCAAGACTAATTACCGTGTGCTTCTATCTCACATGATCGGGCCATGGAAGGGGCCAAGATGGCTTGGGGCATCAAGGATCATTGGTGTGGATTTGAACCCTGCAAAATACGAACACGGTACGGTCTGCCTCAGGGAAAACAAGTACTATATCTTAATAAATATTTTTGGATGGAACACTGAACATCATGTACATTATTTTTCAGCTAAGAAATTTGGATGCACGGACTTTGTGAACCCAAAGGACCACACCAAGCCCGTGCAAGAGGTATGTTCATGTCCATCGATGCACATTTTCCCCTTTGTTCATTCTTCATGACATGCACAAGCCTGTGCCAAAGAACTCACTGTTAAATGTTGCTCTCCAGGTGCTTGTCGAGATGACCAATGGTGGAGTCGACTGTACGGTTGAGTGCACTGGCCACATTGACGCCTTCGAATGTACTGTCACATCCCTAGCTTCTGGTAATGCACTAGGCTAGACCTCATGTGTGCATCATGTTTAAATTCTGAAATTTGAACTGAGGGAATTTTGGAAGCCTCAAAAACTTAAATAAAAGAGGGGCAAAAACCCTAGAAATCTCATTCATTGTTCCAAAATGCTCTTCTTAAATGTTTGATAATTTTTGGCAAGGGTTCTGGTCCCAATCAAAACATTGAACATTTTTAAGGATTTATTTTTGGGACTTTGGATTTAATTCATTAGCTATTTGAATTTGAGTTATATTCATATAATTAGAATATAATTTTAAATACCCCTGAAATATTTTATAAGCTTTTGGAAAAGTCCCTCTAGCAATATAAAATATTCAGAGGAGTTTTTGGCATTGTTTGAATTATTTTAAATTCAAAACAGTGGCAAAATAAATTAAATAAAACAAAACAAAACAGAACAGAAATAAATAGAAAGGGAGAGAAGGCCACCTGGCGCCACTTACCTGGCCCAGCTCCCCCAACGGCCCAGCCCACCGCCGCCCCCCCTCCCTTGTCGTCTTCCTCCCTGCCAGGAGGACGGACACCGCGACGCCGCCGCGCGCGCCACCTCCACCCTGCTCGGCCACCTCCTGCTTCCTCCTCGACGCCCGGAGACGCCACACACCTCCCTGCC